TAGTGGAAACGTGCAAAGGCTTATGGTAGTACAATACAACAGCAGTCATAAGTGACGCTTTCATCTTTCAAACAACATTCATGAGTGATGCTTTATGTTTCAAACAAGGGTCATAAGTGATGCTCCATCTTTCAAACATAAGTGAAATGCTGCTTCAAGATTTTGTTCTTAACAAAGGCTTATTAGGATTGTTGCGTGTGCCGGTATTTTTTTCAAATAAATCTCGAAACAAACACTGTATTTGGCCATGGCTGAGATGAACAAAACAAGAATTAATGGTTTCTGATTGGTGAATCCTGATTTCAAATTGACAGTTCTTTGGCATTCCATTTTTCTACTATGTCCTGTACTATCGCTAGGGCGGGGTATTAAATTTAGTACAGTAGCACTCGTACCACGGCTGTACTGCTGCTGCTGCTACTACTACCCATTCTCACTCGCATCCTAGCATAGCGTACAGTACAGCAAGGAGGTGAAGAAAAAGAAATCTAGGCTTACTATATGTGCCACTCGGACAAGAATTTCAGGTTGTACAACTTTCTGTCCCTTACTATTCTGGTCAGATTCTACCTGCCCAACCAAATGTTACATTGTTTTTTAGTTTTTGTTTTTGTTTTCACCAACGCGCACAAGCAGGAGCAGCGCACTACACACGCCCATGCGTCATCACTTGGGAATTTCTCTCTTTTCTGGATGCGGCCAAGCAAAGAAGTACAACAAAAAATGCATAGGCCAATTGCAGAACCTGGACAGTGTTTTTTACACTTTGCATGCTGCTTGCTGGTCTGGTAGCGAGCCACATGCTGGGAGGGAAAAAACATATGCCAGGATCCATCCACGGCGGTGGAGTTCGAGGTGTGTCACGAGTGTAACAGTGGCGCAAGAACACGCGGCAAGCGCGGGAGGAGCGAAAACGGAGCAATCCGAGGCGCGGGTTGCTGGGGCTGAAGCTCAAATTGCCGGTTGTGGCGGGGAGGAAGAGAGGGGGCGGTACCTGCTGCACTGCTGGCAGAAGCGCTGCTCGATGCCGGCGACGACGACGAGCGGCGCCTTGGAGTGCTCCAGGCACACCTTGTGGCGGCAGTAGTAGGTCTTGCCGCCGCTCAGATCCACGCCGCACCCCTCCACCTGGCACCTCGGCTGCTGCTGCTGCTGCTGCGAGGCGCTGCCGGCGGCCGCGGGGGTGGAGGCTCCTGGCCCTCCGCCCCCGCCTCCTGCTCGGGCGGGGGCGGGGCCCTTGCCCCTCCTGCCACCCGAGGAGGAGGACCCGGCCACGTCCTGCTCGAAGTAGATCTTCTGGCCGAAGTTGAGCCCGTGGAGGTCGTCCCCGGGCCGCCTCCCGCCGCCGTCGCCGCCGCCGCCGCTGCCCCCGGTCTCCATTGCCGCCGCCGGCCCGCCTCCTGCTGCTGCTTTTGTGAAAGAAAACGCCCGTAGGGACTGGTGTAGGGAACTGACTAAATAGTGGCGGCTCCCTCTCTCTCTCTCTCTCTCTCTCTCTCTGTGTCTTCCCCGCCGTCCCCGCCTGCCAGAAGTGAGAGAAAGGCAGACAGGGGGGAGGGGGGGTGGGAGCGAAAAGATCGAAAGCGGCGGAGGGAGGCGACAGCAATGGTGGCGCCGCGGTTAAAATAAGATAAACCCTTTTTTAGTGTGTGGTGCAGTGTGCTTTGCTCACGCACTCCCACTATTCCACTCCACGCACGCACGCACACCTCATCAGAGCTCACTCTCCCCAGCTGCTGCTGCTGCCGCCCTTTTATAGCCAAGACGCCACTCGCTGCCGCTGCCGCTGCCGCTGCCGCGAGTACGAGCCCTCTGCTTTTCGGCTCTTATCGGCGTCGTCTACTTTTTAGAGGGGGGTAGCCCTTGTCGAGCAGGCAGAAGTATAGTATTTGTGGGAGCATGGGGCGGCTGTGGCAGCCCGGCTCGGCTCCACTTGGTATACGCGGGCGGACGCCGCGTGCGCGGGGGGCATGGGGTTTCGCAGCCCGCACCCAGGGGCCAGGGAGGTTGCATGCGGAGAAGTCCACTCGGGGCAATTCGGCCTCCCGTGGTGCTCCGTTGAGGGTGACAGCGAGGCGTTCCAAGACCAAGAGTCACAAAGGACGTCTCCAACGATGACTTGTAAATTCTATTCCGCATCCGTCCGTTGATTGGGGATCAGCCCGAGGACACGAATACGGAAGCCGGTCATTCATCACTGCCTGCATATATTTCGGCTAATGTTTACACAAACCGGGCGAACTTCATTCAAACCGGATGACAGTCATATAAGGGCAGCGCTTCCGCCGGCAGATAATCTGAAAAGATTGACCCCTCAGCGGCCATTAGATCTAATCCAACCAACGGCCTAGCTCATCCTCATTATTGCAACAAAGTCGGTGTTGCAGAACTCTTTTTGCAACATAGCTCATGTTGCAGAAACATTTAACAAAGATTATGTTGTAGTTGTTTCCGTCTTCACTTTTTTGCGGCATACATGATGTTGTGCAAGGACTTTTGCAACATAAATAATGCTGCATAAATTAAAGGAAGAATGGGAGCTTGGGAGGAACACGAGAGGCAACTATGCTCGAGGGATCCAGATCCATATCCTACAACGTACGAGTTGTTGCGGTGGGAAGACTGCGACAAGGGCTCGGTTACAAAACCGTAAGAGGTAGTGTTAGGTGAGTCAGCAAGACACGCGTCACACGGATGAAGCAGTGGACGGCGTGTGCAATCCGCCGGATGAAACCAAATGTTTCCCTTCATATAAACATGACAAAATTCATTACATTTTAGACATTTTTTAACTAAACCCTACTCTAAACCTAATCTAAATGATCGTCGGTGCCCGTTCCTCATGTCTGGCCGTCTTCGCCTTCTCTAGTTCCGCCTCGGCGCTCTCCAGCTCTTCCTCCATAGCCTCCACCTTCGCAGCCATGAGCCCCGGGAAGTGAAGTTGTCCGCCTTCATGTCACCGTCAAGCGACTAATCAGCCGATGATGTTGATCTCATCAAGCTTGGCTTCAATGGGAGGGGAGGAGTTGTGGCGTACTTGGGACCCGATCGGCGGCCTACCATGCACTACTCTTCCTCGCTGTCGGCAACGCTCGTGGACGTGTCGGCTTCGTGGTTCTGGCGGTGGGATGGTACTTTAGCGTAGCTAGCGATGTCTGTTGGGGAACGCAGTAATTTCAAACAAATTTCTACGCACACGCAAGATCATAGTGATGCATAGCAACGAGAGGGGAGAGTGTTGTCCACGTACCCCCGTAGACCGTAAGTGGAAGCGTTATGACAACGCGGTTGATGTAGTCGTGCGTCTTCACGGTCTACCGATCCTAGTACCGAAAGTACGTCACCTCCGCGATCTGCACACGTTCGGCTCGGTGACGTCCCACGAACTCACGATCCAGCAGAGTGTCGAGGGAGAGCTTCATCAGCACGACGGTGATTATGATGCTACCGGAACAGGGCTTCGCCTAAGCACCACTACGATATGACCGAGGTGGATTATGGTGGAGGGGGGCACCGCACACGGCTAAGAGATCAATGATCAACTTGTGTGTCTACGGGGTGCCCCTGGCCACGTATATAAAGGACGGAGGGAGGAGGAGGCCGGCCCTCATAGGGCGCGCCCAAAGTGTGGAATCCTAGTAGGATTCCACCTCCTACATGGAATAGGAAAAAGGGAAGGGAGAAGGAGAAAGAAGGAAGGGGGCGCCCCCTTTCCCTAGTCCAATTCGGACCAGTCCATGGGGAAGGGGCGCGGCCACCCTTGAGGCCTTTCTCTCCTTTCCCGTATGGCCCATTAAGGCCCAATATGAATTCCCGTAACTCTGTGGTACTCCGAAAAATACCCGAATCACTCGGAACCTTTCTGATGTCCGAATATAGCCTTCCAATATATCAATCTTTACGACTCAACCATTTCGAGACTCCTCGTCATGTCCCCGATCTCATCCGGGACTCCGAACAAACTTCGGTACATCAAAACACATAAACTCATAATACCGATCGTCACCGAACATTAAGTGTGCGGACCCTACGGGTTCGAGAACTATGTAGACATGACCGAGACACGTCTCTGGTCAATAACCAATAGTAGAACCTGGATGTTCATATTGGATCCCACATATTCTACGAAGATCTTTATCGGTCAAATGATAACCCACAAGTATAGGGGATCGCAACAGTTTTCGAGGGTAGAGTATTCAACCCAAATTTATTGATTCGACACAAGGGAAACCAAAGAATATTGTCAAGTGTTAGCAGCTGAGTTGTCAATTCAACCACACCTGGAAACTTAATATCTGCAGCAAAGTATTTAGTATCAAAGTAATATGATAGTACTGGTAACAGTAGCAAAAGGTAATGATAACAAAAGTAATGTTTTTTGGTATTTTGCAGTGATTGTAACAATAGCAACGGAAAAGTAAATAAGCGGAGAACAATATATGGAAAGCTCGTAGGCAATGGATCGGTGATAGAGAATTATGCCGGATGTGGTTCATCATGTAACAGTCATAACCTAGGGTGACACAGAACTAGCTCCAATTCATCAATGTAATGTAGGCATGTATTCTGAATATAGTCATATGTGCTTATGGAAAAGAACTTGCATGACATCTTTTGTCCTACCCTCCCGTGGCAGCGGGGTCCTAGCGGAAACTAAGGGATATTAAGGCATCCTTTTAATAGAGTACCGGACCAAAACATTAACACATAGTGAATACATGAGCTCCTCAAACTACGGTCATCACCGGGAGTGGTCCTGATTATTGACACTTCGGGGTTGTCGGATCATAACACATAGTAGGTGACTATAGACTTGCAAGATAGGATCAAGAACTCTCATATATTGATGAAAACATAATAGGTTCAGATCTGAACTCATGGCACTTGGGCCCTAGTGACAAGCATTAAGCATAGCAAAGTCATAGCAACATCAATCTCAGAACATAGTGGATACTAGGGATCAAACCCTAACAAAACTAACTCGATTACATGATATATCTCATCCAACCCATCACTGTCCAACAAGCCTACGATGGAATTATTCATGCATGGCGGTGAGCATCATGAAATTGGTGATGGAGGATGGTTGATGATGACGACGGCGATGGATTCCCCTCTCTGGAGCCCCGAACGGACTCCAGATCAGCCCTCCTGAGAGGTTTTAGGGCTTGGCGGCGGCTCCATATCATAAAACGCGATGAATCCTTCTCCCTGATTTTTTTCTCTCCACGAAAGTGAATATATAGAGTTGGAGTTGAGGTCGGAGGAGCTCCAGGGGGCCCACGAGGTAGGGGGCGCGCCCAGGGGGCAGGCGCACCCCCACCCTCATGGCTAGGGTGTGGGCCCCCTGGTCTTGATCTTTTGCCAGTATTTTTTATTATTCCCAAAAAGACGCTCCGTGGAGTTTCGGGTCATTTCGAGAACTTTTGTTTCTGCACATAAATAACACCATGGCAATTCTGCTGAAAACAACGTCAGTCCGGGTTAGTTCCATTCAAATCATGCAAGTTAGAGTGCAAAACAAGGGCAAAAGTGTTTGGAAAAGTAGATACGACGGAGACGTATCAACTCCCCCAAGCATAAACCTTTGCTTGTCCTCAAGCAATTCAGTTAACAAACTAAAAGTGATAAAGGAAAACTTTTACAAACTCTGTTTGCTCTTGTTGTTGTAAATATGTAAAGGCAGCATTCAAGTTTTCAGCAAAGATTATGAACTAACCATATTCGCAATAACGCTTAGTTCTCATGTTTACTCATATCAATGGCATAATCAACTAGCGAGAAATAATAATAAATCTCGGATGACAACACTTTCTCAAAACAATCATAATATGATATAACATGATAGAATCTCGCTAGCCCTTTCTGAGACTGCAAAACATAAATGCAGAGCACCTTTAAAGATCAAGGACTGACTAGACATTGTAATTCATGTAAAACAGATCCAGTCAAGTCATACTCAATGTAAACTAACAGTAATGAATGCAAATGACAGCAGTGCTCTCCAACTGGTGCTTTTTAATAAGAGGATGATGACTCAACATAAAAGTAAAATAGATAGACCCTTCGTAGAGGGAAGCTATAACACCCTCGATGCAACTATAGCTCCCACGTGTCGAGGCACGACTTAGAGACATAATCGCATTGAAGGCATATGTCGCAAGTTAGGCAATCTTCACAACATCCCATGTAATGTGAATAAAAAAGGGGAGATAACATAGTTGGCTTACACTCGCCACGTCACATCAAAGTACAGAAATAACATCCATCATCCAAACACTCAAGGCCCGACTACGGTGCTAAAATAAAAGAGAACCCAACATGCGACACGGTCCCGTTCACCCCCAACTGGGCACCACTACTGATCATCAGGAAAGGAA